TAGCAAGGTGTATATGTGTGTATATTATACACACACACATATACACACACACATACACAAAGAAAAACAAGTAGATAGAATAGAAAAAATAGAAAGTTAGTGTTTTTTTGTTTGTTTTTTTAAATAATAAAAAAATTAAATATAGCCTATTTGCGTGTTTAATTACATTTTATTACAATGACACTTTGGCATTTAGTTAAAATAACAATGTGTGAATAACATAGCCTATTGTACGTTGGGTTTAGCTAACTTGCAAACTACCTCAGTGTTCTCAACGAATCTCAAGGATGCGCCACTCAGGATCACGTGATTATGCAACGTGATCTCATGATAATTCGTATGTATTTTACGTAAAATGTGGTTCTTTTTAGCTAAAAATACGTAGCGATTTGTACGTTTTAAACGTTGAAATACGTCTAAATTGTACGTTTTAGCATGACTAAAAGTGTACGTTTTGTGCTTGTAAATGTTACGTATTTATACCTACGTATAAACATGAGACCAGGCTGGATTATGTAGGCTACACCTTCTCAGTGACCATGGCACATACAGGTAAAATCGCTGTTTAGAAGGACTGTTTCTAAAGGTTTATGCTTGCTTACAACACTTCATAGCGTCCCTTCCTGTAGAAATGCGTGAAAAACAAACTGAAAATTAAAAACAAAACACGAATGATAGCGGCATTTTAAAAATTGAAAACAAAACACGAATGATAGGCCTATTTGAGAGAAACGTGAATGAGGTATGACTACGATGTAAATTTGATCCGGGGCTAGTTCACGCTCAAACCGGTGCGCAACGTTTTGCTACGGTTTCCGGTTTGAACTACATGTTTCCTGGAAACGGTGTGCAACGGGGTTTGAGATACTTTTTCTCTTGTTTGGTGTGCGTGTCACAAAATGTCAGCCCAATCATCAGCAACATGTATATAAACCACGCGATATTAAAGAGACAGATGGCACAATGTAATTAACATCCAAATAAATTCACAAGAGCAAGTATATTGTTTGCACATGTTTATTTACATTAAAGGCAAAATAACTGAAATAATAAGAGCACAAGTATAGATCTGGAACTTCTTTAAGTCTGTCTAAATATCATTTAGTAATTGCAATGTGTTCTGGTCCATATCGTTTCCTTAGGAAGGTGTGTTAGACACTGATTAATGTAACATAAAAATACTATACATATTTATATATTTTGCTATTGTATTGTGGAGTGACACTTTCATAAACTTTTCTATAGCTACTCCTCTGATTATATAATGGTAAATATTACAATAACATAGCACAACAACAGTGATCAGCAATAATGATAAGCCTAATACGCACAATAAAAATAAGTTAAAAAGGTAAGAAGTGGATTATCCTTCACCTGAAATGTTTGTCTTTTCATCCTGAAATGCGAGGCAAATGTTGGATCACAATATTAGGAACCACAGTTTCCACAAATCCCTTCATTTGATTGGGATGTTCTCTTTTATTCTGGAGGGCAAGGGCAGTGACTGTAACATCGAGCGTATTTTGCAGTATTAAACACGTATTTATACCGATTTCATCAGGCTCCGAAAATTCTTCAAAAAGAACACAAAGAATGGCTTTCTCAGCTGCCATAGTTGCAACTCTTGCGTCATCAGAACAGGGTGTTCAACGCACCACCGTTTCCGTTTAAAAAACGTTTTGCACCGTTTTGTCGGGCTGAACGCAGCCCTGTTCTTCACACAAAACAATCATTAGCCTTCAGAAAACCTGAAATATTATAGTACTATATGTGTGAAGCACTTGCTTTTTGTCTTTTTTGAGCTCAACGTTTTACAATTGCTGTCTTAACATTAGTATGAAAGCTTGTTTCCAAATAAATGAAAAAAAAGGCAATTGCTACTTATTATCTCACAATTCTGACTCTTTTCCCCTCACAATTCCATGAGAATTACAAAACAACCTCAAAAAAGTCAAAATTGTGAAATGTAAAGATATAAACGGTCAGTTCTGAGGTGAAAAATGGTTAGACAATTTCACAATTGCAAGCAAAAAGTCTGAATAGTGAGTGAAAAAGTCACAATTACACTTTTTTATTTAATGACGAAAACAAGCTTCCATACATCAGTCATATTTCAGTGAATTTTCACGTAGCGATGAAGTACAGATCACACAAGTCACTTTCACACCAAGCGCTTTTTTGGGGGGGTCAGTGAGGCGAATTTGCATGACCAACTGGACACGAGTGAAATCTGCATAGAGAACTTTTTAACTCACACATGAAATTCCCAAGCATGAAGATGAAAACGGCTGGATTTCGTCCACAAAATTTCTCAGAGCAGCACTAAATGTGACCGTACATTTATTGTGTGTAAAAGAGCTGCTAAGACATTCCTCACAAGATTTCCTTTTGTGTTTCATGGTAGAAAAAAAATAATTCTTAGTTTGAATGACAACATTTTTATTTTTAGATTACCGGTAATTATTCCTTACAACAACAACAAAAAAAATTGATTCGCAAATTTGAGCATCGACTAGAGACAGTAAGACACTGTCTCTGTAGGGTCTCTTCCTTGAGGACTTGTGAACCACTTGAGTCTGTACAAACAGATTAGATTTACAGCCCTGGATCAGAGTGAGACATGTTTGACATTAATGCCGCATTGTATATTATCAGAAACGCTGAATGTGGACGCAGAGATCCAAGGCAGAGAATGTTTAAGAACTAATTACGAACCAGCGAGGCACAAGACCTATAGCATATTTTCTTACTTGTGTGGAAAAATATAGCAGGCTCCATTTATTTTTCTGCACTGTTATTTCTGGATGGCTCCTACTTCGGGTAAATAGTCCCATTCCCTATTGTAAATCTGACGGGCACAGGTCTTCGGAGACTTTTGAGGCTCTTTTAAGGAAAAATAGAGACAGGCTTGGATGGCTTTTGGCCATAATGAGAGAGTGGAAGCAAAGGGAGAGCTTTGATCCATGGCCTGAAAGCTCATGTTTAAATCTGTTAGCAGACATCACTCATCTTGCATGGATGAAACGACCAGATCAAAGTCTGTTTCTTTGCGTTTAATGGACAGTGAAACCCAGTTTAGATGTCTGTGACATACCATCAACTAATATAATAGCCCTTTCACCACGTTAAGAAAATATATATACCTTTTTAAAATATATATATATATATACATGCATATTTATCTTCAAAAATGTATCTAGACAGACAGACAGACAATGACAGTGCAATGACATTCATACATTTTCTGAGTGGCTTGAGTGTCCAAATACACTCAGAATGATCCAGAAACGTAACCGCACAATTAGCACTCATCATTCAATTACAATAAATATCCATTTCCTTAGAAACGGCTCCATAAAACGGTATCAATTAGCAAAAACGTGTGCACAGGGAAAAAGAAATAATGCAAGTCAAACTGTGAAAATATTATTTTATTCATAGAGCTTCACTCGGAATAGGCCTCTCTGGCGCCACACTCTCATTTCATATCAAACGCTTTTCCAAACCACACAAGAGCAGGAGCTCCACAAGGACCTATCATAGGCCCTATGATATTCCAGCAGTGCTAAGTGGAGAGGAGGAGACCTGGATGGACGCCCGATCAGATTTCCTTTTTCTCCATTTCGGTGGACCGCCGTGTGTCGTGAATCTCCTTTCCATCTTAGCTCGTTAATTTCCCATAAACGGGGTTGTGAATAAATATTTAAGTATATCCATCGCCGATTGATGTCAAATACTTTGAGATAAGCCAAAATGAAATAAGACAAAATGATATGAGTTGTGAGGAATAACAGAGGAAAGTCTGAACAACTTGTACTTTATAAGAAAATTACATGATGAGGCGATGAAGAATTGAGAATTTTCTATAAACCATTTGTGGAAACTCTACTAGTGACTTTAAAAGAGCAGGATATTCATGTAGAAATTATCATTAACAGCAATAATATGCTGTATTTGCCACACTGCATTTCTTCTAATGAAGGCACATATTGAATTAGCACCTCATTAAATCGTTATGTATTTAAAAACGAGTGCTCCTTCAGGGAAAAAAAATGCATGAAACGTACAAATCCAGAAATTATATGATTGGTTATAAAGCTGCCCAGGACAGACCAACCTTTTTGCTTTGTTTGTCCTGCTGCTCACATGCGATCTTTTTATCCATTATACACGAATAATAATAAAAACATAACAGAACGCAATATTGACAGAAATTGTAAAACGATTGGAGATGAAAGTGAACATTTCTTACAGATTTGAAATGCTTAAACAGCTGTCATGTATGACTGATAGAAAACAATAAGATAGGTTATGTAATGCACCGATTCTTGAGTACTGGGACGAAATAGGTTAAACAAAAAAGGTTAAAAGTTTCTACTACCATTCAAAAGTTTGGGGTTTGTGAAGTTATTTTTTTTATTAAATTAATACTTGTTTTCAGCAAGGATACATTAAATTGATCAAAAGTGTCAGTAAAGACTTACAGAAGGTTTCTATTTCAAATAAATGCTGTTAAATTATTTCCACAATAATATTAATCAGCACTACTGTTTTAACACTGATAATAATAAGTCATGTTTGGCATATTATAAGATTTCAGAAGGGTCGTGTGACACTGAAGACTGGCAATTACACTTTAAAATATATTCAAATATATAATCTTTCACAATATTACTGTTTTTAATCTATTTTTGATTAAACACTTTGGTTTACCAAATTTACCAACCTCAGATTTTGAATGGTAATGTATGCGTCAAAATATTATTTGGATTATTATTTGGATATTTATTTTTCAAGTTTAATATATAGGCTATTTATATCTTTGTGAAGAATTAGGTTTTAGGCTGACCGAAGGTTATGATGTGTTCTAGTTAACATAGTGACACAAATCTTTAATTCATTCTGATGCAATTAAAGTTGTGTGACATTTTGTTCCATGTCTCAAGAATCAGTGCATGATATGATAAACAGAATAAAACAGGAAGAACAACAGAAAACAGTAATGTGAAATCTCTTTAAATAGAGATACAATAGAAAGTCGCTTGGGACAATGTTTAGATGAGATGACTGGTGAATATGAGCTGATATTTTATATTCATATTTCATAATAATTATATCAGAGCACCAGTCCTTATGATTATCAGGACCCTGGATGAATGAAACTACTAACTTGTAGTTCGGGATCAACAACTTTGAATTACATGGAAAACATCATCTCTTCCCCAAGAAATGAGCTACCCCAAGTCTATTTGTGTCAAATGTGTTCATCTGTTTACTTAGTTAGCCTTTTAGCCACATCCTTATATGCTAATTCGATCTCGTTGTCGGCGGCACAGGTGTTGGTGAACTCTTCTTGTGCATAAGCATTGTTCAGGTAACGCCACACGCCTGTCAAATCACTTGGAATGTCGTAGTTCCGATATTTCTTGGCAACCACCTGCAAAAAAGTGGATGGAAAATAGATTAATGAAAATAATTACAATTAACAACAAATGTAACTTACATTTAAAGATGCCTTTAGTTTGACCTGCACTGCTGTAAGCAGAGGGGACTCAAATCTGCATCGTATTAAACGGACTCAAAATGTCGGCTCATGTTTGCTTACTACTAGACCATTGCACTTCAAACTTTTAAAATAAAAGAGACGTGACATGACATGTGGCCAAGTATGGTGACCCATACTTGGAATTAGTGCTCTGCATTTACCCATCCAAAGTGCACACACACAGCAGTGAACACACACCCGGAGCAGTGGGCAGCCATTTATGCTGCAGCACCCGGGGAGCAGTTGGGGGTTCGGTGCCTTGCTCAAGGGCACCTCAGTCGTGGTATTGAAGGTGGGAGAGAGTGCTGTACATTCACTCCCCCCACCTACAATCCCTGCCGGTACGATACTCGAACCCAGAACCTTTGGGTTATGAGTCCGACTCTCTAACCGTTAGGCCACGGCTTCCCCAAATAAGTACTACTGGGCCCTATTTTAACGATCTAAGCGCATGGTCTAAAGCGCACGGCGCAGGTGCACTCAGGGCATGTCCGAATCCACTTTTCTAGTTTAACGATGGGAAAACAGTCGGCACGCCCGGGCGCATGGTCTAAACTGGTTGTCCCTATTCTCTTAATGAGTAATGGGTGTTTTTTGGGCGTAACGTGCAATAAACCAATCAGAGTCTCATCTCCCATCCCCTTTAAAAGCCAGTTGCGTTCGCACCATGGCTGGTTCGCTATTTACATGGCGGAATGTAATTATTCATTTTTAAAAATGTTTGTATGCTGCTGCGCGTCTCTGTGTGTGTAATAAGCAAAGTGTACGCGCTTTGTGCACCCGTCTATAGGTGCATATTACTAACGCGCTCTTTAAATAACAAAGAAAAAATATTGTGCCAGACTTTAAACCAGGTTTGAGTTGGTCTATGGCGCAGTCTATTTTCAGTTCCTCAAAATAGCAACACGCCAACAATGCGCCTGATCACACCTCGTTTTTAGACCAGCACGCCCATGGGCGCACAAATGGGCACAAATGCATTTGCTATTTAAACAACGCAGCGCAGGATGGGAAATTGAGAACTGCGTCGGGCTGAAACTAGCAAAAACACTTGCGCTGCACTTTGTGCCGGGTGTATGATAGGGCCCTTAGTGTCAATAAGACATCTTTTTAAAGAAATTACAAATGCATTTCATATTTAAACAACGCGGCGCAGGATGGGAAATTGAGAACTGCGTCGGGCTGAAACTAGCAAAAACACGGCACCTTGTGCCGGTGTATGATAGGGCCCTTAGTGTCAATAAGACATCTTTTTAAAGAAATTATTTTTTTTATTCAGCAAGGACGCAATAAATAATCAAAAGTGACAGTAAAGACATTCATATTACAAAACCATTTCTATTTCAGATAAATGCTGCTCTTTTGAAATTTCCATTCATCCAAAAATCCTGAAAAATGGGTATCACAGTTTCCACAAAAAATATTAAGCAGCAACTGCTTTCTTTTAAAATAACAAAAAATTATTACTGAGCAGCAAATCAGCATATTAGAATGATTTCTGAAGGATCATGTGACAAATTCATGTGATCAAAATTCAGCTTTGCATCACAGGAATAAATTACATTAAAAAATATATTCAAAACAGTTATTGCAATAATATTTCACAAATATTACTGTCTTTACTGTTTTAAATAAATGCAGCTTTGGTGAGAACAAGAGACTTCAAAAACATTTATGGCAGCAACAAATGCAAGTGTACAGAAATACACTGTAATCACTACTGGGAATTCCATTCACTTAACTCTAGGGGACTCCAAAGTCAGAAAAATACACAAAACTACAAAGAGTTGCTTTAAAGTTAAAATTGCTTTTTTTTAAAGATCACATGGATTATTATGGTTTGAGGTTTTGCAGGTTAGCAATTTCCCCTTAACTACACCATCTGGCAGCAAACTGTATCTTCTCCATTGACTGTCCTCCATGAGTGCAAATTTCTGCCAAAACTGCTATTGAGATGAATGGGAATGCTAACGGATAGCTTTGTCCAGGTATTACAGGCCTCCTTGCTTACCCCCAAGCATTGAAGGCCAGCTATAGTGACAAGTCCCCCCTCGGCGCTTCAGCTCACCTTCACTATGTGGAGCTTTGGCAGCAGGTTGCAGTCTGCCAGAGTCAGATCATTCCCGTCCAGGAACTTGCGGTTGGAGGCCTTCTCCTCCTCCATGCTGTCAGCATCTACCTCATCGGGCAAAGGACTGTTCAGGTACTCGTCCAGCTTTGTGAGTGCCTTTGTCAAACCCTTCTGCAGAGCTAACAAAACATCACACATTACTTAATAACCAGTGTGTTATTTCAGCACAAATGGGCACAAATGCATTTGCTATTTAAACAACGCAGCGCAGGATGGGAAATTGAGAACTGCGTCGGGCTGAAACTAGCAAAAACACTTGCGCTGCACTTTGTGCCGGGTGTATGATAGGGCCCTTAGTGTCAATAAGACATCTTTTTAAAGAAATTATTTTTTTTATTCAGCAAGGACGCAATAAATAATCAAAAGTGACAGTAAAGACATTCATATTACAAAACCATTTCTATTTCAGATAAATGCTGCTCTTTTGAAATTTCCATTCATCCAAAAATCCTGAAAAATGGGTATCACAGTTTCCACAAAAAATATTAAGCAGCAACTGCTTTCTTTTAAAATAACAAAAAATTATTACTGAGCAGCAAATCAGCATATTAGAATGATTTCTGAAGGATCATGTGACAAATTCATGTGATCAAAATTCAGCTTTGCATCACAGGAATAAATTACATTAAAAAATATATTCAAAACAGTTATTGCAATAATATTTCACAAATATTACTGTCTTTACTGTTTTAAATAAATGCAGCTTTGGTGAGAACAAGAGACTTCAAAAACATTTATGGCAGCAACAAATGCAAGTGTACAGAAATACACTGTAATCACTACTGGGAATTCCATTCACTTAACTCTAGGGGACTCCAAAGTCAGAAAAATACACAAAACTACAAAGAGTTGCTTTAAAGTTAAAATTGCTTTTTTTTAAAGATCACATGGATTATTATGGTTTGAGGTTTTGCAGGTTAGCAATTTCCCCTTAACTACACCATCTGGCAGCAAACTGTATCTTCTCCATTGACTGTCCTCCATGAGTGCAAATTTCTGCCAAAACTGCTATTGAGATGAATGGGAATGCTAACGGATAGCTTTGTCCAGGTATTACAGGCCTCCTTGCTTACCCCCAAGCATTGAAGGCCAGCTATAGTGACAAGTCCCCCCTCGGCGCTTCAGCTCACCTTCACTATGTGGAGCTTTGGCAGCAGGTTGCAGTCTGCCAGAGTCAGATCATTCCCGTCCAGGAACTTGCGGTTGGAGGCCTTCTCCTCCTCCATGCTGTCAGCATCTACCTCATCGGGCAAAGGACTGTTCAGGTACTCGTCCAGCTTTGTGAGTGCCTTTGTCAAACCCTTCTGCAGAGCTAACAAAACATCACACATTACTTAATAACCAGTGTGTTATTTCACAGCATTTGATGGTGAATGGTAAAATTAGTGTTGCCAGAAATTCTGAAAATATTTATGATATATATATATATATATATATATATATGTTGATGACCATATGAGCTTTGGTCTATATTAATGTTTTTGTTATTGCTGTTGTTTGTTTATATATATATATATATAGACATACACATATACATATACATATATATATACACATACATACATACATACATACATACATACACACACACACACACACACACATATATATATATATATCTGATTAGGTTGCCATTAGACTGTTTTTTCTTATTAATGTTATAATATTAGTACAATATACAGTATACATTTAAAATTACAGTATATACACTCCCAAAGTTTGTATAAGATTTTTTTTTTTGAAAGCTGTCTTTTATGCTCACCAAGGCTACAATTATTTTATCAAAAAAAAATAATAATAAATAAAGATATATATAATAAAAATGTAAAAACAGTAATAATAGTGAAATATTATTACAATTTAAAATAACTTTTCTATTTTAATATATTTTCAAATAAAAATTTCTTATTATCAGTGTTGAAAACGGAATTTTTGGGGGGAAAATATATACATTTTTTAATATTTTTAAAATATTCTATTTTTTTATTTTACAACTGTATTTTTTCAGGAATCTTTGATGAATAGAAAGTTCAAAAGAACGGCTTTTACTTGACATTTAAATATTTTTATTACATTATAAATGTCTTTACTGTGACCTTAGGTAAATTTAATGAATCTTAAATCTGAATAAAATAACAATAATAATTATCCTAAAAAAAACATACTGATCCCAAACTTTTGAATGGTAGTGTAAATATTGCTATGGATGCATTTATTATTATTATTATTTAAAAAAAAAAAAATTTTGTCTGTACTAAGGTCCATATGCAAGATTCAAATATTTTAAATATCAGTCATCATAGGTTATCGACCACAACAAATTATAATAAATATTTGACTATACTTAAAGCATCAGCCAAATATCTATATCGAGACACTGAAAACACAACCATTCAAAAAAAAAAAAAAGTGAGCACAAGTCCAGAACAGTTCTAATACATTCAATGCTAAAATATGTAGGATGTTTACAGTACAATGGATTCCATATAGAGTTAACTGAATGTAACTTTGCTAAGTTTCAGTGTACTGACCAAAAAACAATATATCCATTCATTCATTCAATCAGTTTGATCCAGTTTGACATGCATACCTTCATTCACATCTGGCTTAGTGTTTTTTATGAAAGCTGAGAACTTTGCAAATATGTCATTCCCAGCTGTGTTTGACTCCCTGTGCCTGGCTGCAAGTTTGGGGTACCTTGGACACAAGGAAAGGTACATAGAAAAACATGTGTCAGTATTCTTTACAGTTCTAGTTCACAGTGGTTTAATGTGATGTTTAATACAATATACATGGCAAAACAAGTCTTAACGGGTGGGTTTTGATCCAAAAATGAGCCGTAAGCCTGTTCTCATAGGCCATAGATGACAGCAAAAAAAATGATGCTAATGCTCATTTAAAATAAATAATTTTGATAACATCTTCAGTTAATTTGCACTGTGATGCTAGATATGTCGTTCTTAGTAATAGTACTGTAATAGATTTAAACGTTGTTTACTTTTGTATGCTAAACAATTTTGGTGCTGTGTTTGACCATGATTGATGAAATCTGGTTCCTGAAGCAAAACCAGTTGAGAACCGCAGTTTTAGAGTTTCTATACAGTCACGATACGTCTCAAGTGTATTTGTAAAAATGAGCTTACTTTGGTGGTGCCAAAACCTCCTCCAGAAACTCCTCAATCTTGTTAATGTCGGTTTTCACCTCACCGTTGAAGGTCAAGAAAGGAGGGTGAGTGCCTGGAGCCAAATTGTGCAAATCTCATTCACATCTGGCTTAGTGTTTTTTATGAAAGCTGAGAACTTTGCAAATATGTCATTCCCAGCTGTGTTTGACTCCCTGTGCCTGGCTGCAAGTTTGGGGTACCTTGGACACAAGGAAAGGTACATAGAAAAACATGTGTCAGTATTCTTTACAGTTCTAGTTCACAGTGGTTTAATGTGATGTTTAATACAATATACATGGCAAAACAAGTCTTAACGGGTGGGTTTTGATCCAAAAATGAGCCGTAAGCCTGTTCTCATAGGCCATAGATGACAGCAAAAAAAATGATGCTAATGCTCATTTAAAATAAATAATTTTGATAACATCTTCAGTTAATTTGCACTGTGATGCTAGATATGTCGTTCTTAGTAATAGTACTGTAATAGATTTAAACGTTGTTTACTTTTGTATGCTAAACAATTTTGGTGCTGTGTTTGACCATGATTGATGAAATCTGGTTCCTGAAGCAAAACCAGTTGAGAACCGCAGTTTTAGAGTTTCTATACAGTCACGATTCGTCTCAAGTGTATTTGTAAAAATGAGCTTACTTTGGTGGTGCCAAAACCTCCTCCAGAAACTCCTCGATCTTGTTAATGTCGGTTTTCACCTCACCGTTGAAGGTCAAGAAAGGAGGGTGAGTGCCTGGAGCCAAATTGTGCAAATCAGCTGGTTTCCTGAATAAATAATAATAACATTTTATGAACTTCTTAATTTTATTACCTAACCATCCCAGCATTGCATGGCATACAAACATTAGACACATTTTAAAATAGATTCGATTATTTTTCTTTTTTTTCCAAAGGATAAAATTCTAAACTATATTTTCTTGCTTTGACCTTTGACAGGGAAAATGGATAAAATCTTAACAATATCAATCTTTAATAACTTAGAACTGCATATGACATTTGTTAGGTTCCAATAGAAATGTTATTTAATAACATGAAGATGTGGCATTTGTTACTGACATTTATGTGATATGATTATTCATGTTTCATGTAATTTGATCTCAGATTAGTGAACTTCTCACCTCTTCAGGTCAACAGTGGTGACGTTGAAGACCACACCTTTGAGCCAGAGGATCATGAAGAGACGTTGGGAGAATGGACAGTTTCCGATGCTCTCGCCATCACAACCAGCCTACAAACACAACGACACATCTTTACATATACATCACCTCCAGGGATCAGTAAGTCTTCATTTATCTTATTGCCAATAACATGGGCCAAAGATATGGTGGAGACCGGTTCTCATGTTCTATCCAGAGAGAAGAGACTGGATTGAGAATGATAAAGTGTCATAGCCCCCCCTGTTGCTTCAATGTTTCAATTGACATTAAAACAGAGTTTACCTGAAATCTAACCACAAGGAAAATTTCAAGTAAAATAGTCGCTATTTTCTGCATTCATAAAGTCTCTTTTAGCTGCAGGTGTTTTATATTACATGAATATCTGAATCTCTAAATCTCATAGGATATGCCAGAGGTTTTCCAAAAAGTTGGCTGCATATATTGCAGGTGAGCTATGTGTTCACTGAAATAGTAAACATTATTATTATTATGTATTCTTATTTCTTGTGTTTCACATAGACATTTACAGTTACACTTACATTTAAGCATTTGGCAGACACTTTAATCAAAAGTGACTTGCATTGCATTTAAGGTATATATTTAAGTTTTATCAGTTCTTGCTTTCCCTGGGAAACAAACCCATAACCTTAGCATTGCTAGTGCCATGCTTGCTAGTGCCTGATATATGAAATAAACTATTTCACTTAAGAACTCCATGTTATTCAGTGACGTTATTTTGTAAAATGGTACAAATCACACGTGGGCAGGTGGAATTTTGCTAAAACCTATAAAACAGTTTTAACCCTAAAATTATTAATCCCAATTGGTTTCATAATTTTGTGAAATGAATGCCTTAAAAGGATAGTTCACCCCAAAAAATCTAATTCTGTAATCATTACTCACTCTCAAGTTGTAACAAACCTGTATGAGTTTCTTTCTTCTGTTGAGCACAAAAGATATTTTGAAGAATGTGGGTAACCAAACAACTGACGGTAGCCATTGACTTCCATAGTATGGAGGGGGGAAAAATGCTATGGAAGTAAAAGGCTACTGTCAACTGTATGGAAGAAATTCATACCGGTTTGGAACTACATCAGGGTGATTCAAATTATTTTCATTTTTGAACTATCCCTTTAATTCAGTTATGTCAGGAACATAAAACATAATTTACAGAAGGCAAAACTTTAGCTTCAAAAAACGTATCTTAATGTATTGTTTTTGTTTAACACGCATGTTTTTATTTTTTCCACAATAAATAGTTTTTAGTTCAAAATCATATTCTGATCAATAATTATCAGACCACTGCAGTACCGCCATTGACAACCTAGAGAGCGCCGTCTCCTTTTTGAAATACCCTTCTTTACTGTAGACTGGACATCACTAAACTGGGACAAGCAGCAAGAACAAATGTGCCTATGCTCATTTAAAAATCTTAATTGAAATGGATCATTTTCATTCACTCAAAAATTAGTATTACAGATTACACAGTTGCACTCATTTAGTGATAAACACTAATGTTCCTCATTATGGAGAGTGACCCCGGTTAACAGTGAGTGACAGTGCTACTGTACGTTACAGCAGTGGAGGAGATCAGGTGTCCCAAAACAGCGGCACCACTATCACGAGACCATATAGCTTACACTGTGACACAATACCCGGCACAGTATGAATTATGCACACTGCATTCATTAACCGCAGGCCTGGTTGTAAGAAGAACACAAGGAGCGTGCTGACAGATATATAATAGGTCCACTAGTGAAAATACTTCTATTTTGCATCTTTTCTACTTTAAAGGGGTCATATGATATCCTCGTCCACCACCAGTGTGCAGCCTCCACCTGGATGATGCGACGGCAGCCATAGTGTGCCAAATTTTAACACAGTTTGTTTTCATTACACGGTTCAGAAGGAATCATGGGAGAAAATGCATTATATAATGGTCAGATAAATGAGGCAGATGGTATGTGAAAGGTCAGAGCACTTCCATTTCTACTCATCTGTCCGTTCTGGCAAATTCAGAACAGAGACAGAACTGGATGCAGAACAATGAGTCACTATGATCTAGAAAGCGCAGGACAATAGGCCATTTGCAATAGGACCGGTTGCTCTGTTGGATGGCAGTTCAGGGCTGTAAACAGACCGGGGTGTGACTGACTGACAATGCCTTGTGTACAGGATTTATATTGTTAAATAGACAGATTAGTGCATGGAAGAGGATTTGTTTGTTTCTAACATTTATTTTTTAATTAAGTTGCTTCAGCATAGCTGCCATTGGAACTTGAAATGCATCCACTTTAATCATATAATCATAATTGAAGCATGCAGCATTGCATTGTCAGTGTATGTGTAAGTTTGCTTTCTCATAGGAAAGACTTTTCATATATTGCTGCCATTTTACCATAATATTCAGATTTCAGATCCAACAAGCTTGTTGCATTGTTTGTAATGATAGGTAATACTTATAAATTTTATTTATTTTGCTTTTGTGTGTGTGATAAAAAAAAGTTGTAGTTTAGTAATGGTAGCAGATCTTACATCTACCTGATAGTATGCACAATATATCGGTACCATATGTATGTATGTGTCTATATATATGTGTGTCCTTAATATTGTGAATGCTCATTTTCACACTAATAATTGCAATATCCAAATATTGAATATCCATTTTTCATACTGTACATTATAGTACTGTACATTTTTAGCATTTAAAATGACTGATTTTATTTGTCAGTGTATTTGTAATTAGTATAAAATATTTTTTAAATATTCTTTAGTTTCATTTAGACAAAAAGCGTTAATTTTCAGCCATTTCATATTTTTATTTTTATTTATATAAATTTATATAAATATAATTACTTAATCTTATAGTTATGGGTCAGATTTTTATTTTAATGCATTTCTAACAAAAACATCAGAATGAGAAGGAGGGAATATTATTTTAACACCACCTTTATACATAACCGAAAATCTATAACCACTGTGCAAGAACAACATAAGGCAATCATACATTATTCTACTAACAACCTGGTCATGATCTTAGTCCAATATGCACACGTTACTCTAGTTACACTGACTTTATAAGAACCTCATAACTCCATAAAGCTCACTCTAATTTTAGATTTCTCTCCTTACCTTGACAAACAACTCAATATCAGGTTCTTGGCCGTCTCCCATTGTAGACACTTTCTTTGATTCAGGTATCTGTCCTGATCTGTCACCTACATCCTCCCAGCAGTATTTTGCAGATATTTTGGGTTAAATGTCAGTGTTTAGCCACACGCTCTCTTAGATTCTTTTTGTTCTGCTATTGACGGGCAACCAATGGCACCAGGTGTTGTGATGTCAGCTCGAGCCAAGATGAAAGGTGAATCTAGCTCTCTCCCAAACATGGGTGATGTAAAAGAGAGGGAATAGGTGAGAGGCTTTAGTTGGGGGCGGAGCTTACTTTGCCCCGCCCCTGCCACAAATAGCTCTGATGAGCTTGAGTGACAGATGAGAATAATCTAGAACTGTAACTGTGATGTTGAGAGATGACATTGAAACCATCTATGAAGGTTCATGTTTTAAAATAGGCACTTGATTATATATACAGTATATACTGCATGTATAATTTCACATCCAAAAGACAGAGATGTGTATATAAGCTCATTGTTTAGAGTCTATGCTACTAAACTCCTGCCCCATCCTGTCCATGTGTAACTATATGTGACATGTTCATGGCCCAGAAACTCTGAGTAGAGGAATGAGCCGCATGCAATTTTAATGCGGTCCAAGTCACAGGCAGCATGCTGGCAGGCAACGGCAGGTTATATTTGATCATCTTGTGGAGCCCAGGAGAATAAGATTCCCTGCTAAATATTTTATGAGCTGGCTTTGGTTTATAGCGTGAATTTGCATTCAAAGTTTTCGGACGTGACTGATCTGAACCTGTGAAATGAAGATTACTCATTTGGCTTCCCAAAATAGAGCTGACTCGTGTGTGTGTGTGTGTGTGTGTGTGTGCGAGTGAGCGAGAGAGAGAGACAGCGTCACATCAGTAGAGTCAGCAGTCTTAACCGCGGCTTGTGTACTACATCATTACTGTGTCTGTTCCCCTTTCGGGCTTGAACTGATGGTAAAACTAATGACATTATTTACTGTCTTTACATTTATTTTGAAAGATGAAGCTGGTGATTATAGTAAGGGGCGTTACATTTCTGACGAGTGCTTGTGGTGTTCGGCCAATCGCAATGCACTGGGTCAGCTGGCCAATCAGAGCAGACTGCGCTTGTCGGAAGGAGGGACTTTGTAGAAAACGAAGCGTTTGAGAGAGGCGGGGCATAGAGGACCTACAATAATGTACAGTATTTGAAAAATAATGTGTTTTTTGAACATTAAAGCATGTCAACATATTCTGTTACACCAAATAATGATCTTTAAAAAAGCATCATATGACCCCTTTAATAATAATAATAATTCATTATATTTATATAGCGCTTTTCTGCTTTTCTAAGCACTCAGAGCACTCTACATTGTGAGGGGGTATCTCCTCGTCCACCACCAGTGTGCAGCCTCCACCTGGATGATGCGACGGCAGCCATAGTGTGCCAAACTTTAACACAGTTTGTTTTCATTACACGGTTCAGAAGGAATCATGGGAGAAAATGCATTATATAATGGTCAGATAAATGAGGCAGATGTTATGTGAAAGGTCAGAGCACTTCCATTTCTACTCATCTGTCCGTTCTGGCAAATTCAGAACAGAGACAGAACTGGATGCAGAACAATTAGTCACTATGATCTAGAAAGCGCAGGACAATAGGCCATTTGCAATAGGACCGGTTGCTCTGTTGGATGGCAGTTCAGGGCTGTAAACAGACCGGGGTGTGACTGACTGACAATGCCTTGTGTACAGGATTTATATTGTTAAATAGACAGATTAGTGCATGGAAGAGGATTTGTTTGTTTCTAACATTTATTTTTTAATTAAGTTGCTTCAGCATAGCTGCCATTGGAACTTGAAATGCATCCACTTTAATCATATAATCATAATTGAAGCATGCAGCATTGCATTGTCAGTGTATGTGTAAGT